GCGATGGGTGGTGATGACTAGCTGTCTTCCCTCTAGTCTTTCACTGCTAAATTAGGAACTGCTAGCGCAGATAGCCCTCGTGTAGTTTTGCGCGAAATTCAAAACAAACCTTCCATAACTCTTAAATCTCTGTGTTTACCGTAAATAGTTATGTGTTAACATTATTATTACATACCACTGTTATTAAACATTTATTCATGGCTCTATTTATATGTTTATATCGTTATTAAACTTCCTTTTCATAACTGTTTAATCACTGTATGCATCTCTGTTTATGGTGTCTAGACTAGGTTGTCTTTGACTCACCTGAAGTAAGCTATATTTATAACGACATTTCCAAAATATTCAATATTAATGGCAGTAATTTATTGTTCTAAATTATTTAGTATTCGAACTGTATGAAGTAGAGTGTTTTTCTTTCAATAAAAAACTTGTGAGTTGTGGCGCACATTTGATACTATAAAAAAAGAACACTTTATACATTTATTAAACTTCTGATTCCATTAATTCCGAGTTTCTCTTTACCTTGTCAGAAAAAAATTCTTTAATGACAGACAGCTAAGTTAAATGGTTTTTTGAGCATCCTTGTATACCATGAAACAATTTCAGACAACATTAATGAACCACTATTTGCATCGCATTCATGCCTGTTTGCATCAATGCTGAAAGTTCACTTATGTAATGTTACATGACTTTGTGTAAAGCTTCAAATTCTGACATTTTTAATTTAAATAGATTCCTATAGAAAGGTGTAAGAGGCAACTATTACATTTTACATATCATTTCCCATTACTTAACAAGTCTCGTTCGTATTTTTTTAATGAAGCATAGCAATTAATTTATAGATCAGCAGGATACAGCTGCTGGAAGTCCGCCATGTTCTGATGGACAGAGCTCAGTATCAATAAATACCACAATGCAAAGAAAAATATTCCACAGGAAAACATGGAAAAGGAAAATGTACTTTTGCCTTTCCAGATACAAAAATAATAATAATTAATTATCGTTACTTACATACACAATCTTTATATAAAATATTTACTATAAACCGATAAACATTGTTTGCAAATCAATTTACAAAAAGTTGCTTCATTGGAAATATACTTGCAAAAATACTGTCTTTACTTATTATTATTTATATATATATATCATTATCATATGGCAATGGTCCCCATTTATTTTCCACGCTGGACCATAACATATGATGACCTTAAAGCCAAGGGCCGGGATGAGTTTGTTGGGGAATTACATCAATCCCCAAATAGAGTATTGCTTCCTTTTGCAATATCTGATCATAGTTCGGGTCACAAATCAGGTTTTCGAGGGCTTGATGTGCACCTCTCCCCCCCTCCCCCACAAAAGGCCGCCTATTGACATATCGTATGGTAACAATGTCAATATTTAGAAAGCATATTGACTGCAGAAAATAAAACACTACTTTCATCCTCTTTAATAAACATACTTAACACAACGTTGAAAAAATCAGGGAAAAAAATAATACGTTGCAATATTCCCGCCGTTCAATGAAAATTCGCTAAAAAGAGTCGAATTTTCGCATAAATTACGACAATTATATATCTTTACTCTTTTATTAATCAATTAACTTTTTGTTTAAATCACATTAATCAACAAAAGCACTTTCAGATGGTTGTTTTATTTGCTTATTATCATTAATTTGAATATAACTGCTGATAATTAATTACACAATATGGAGGAACCCGTAATCGTTGCTATTTAAACTTTGATTCCTTTTTAAATTATAAGGCGAGTCTATAAGTAAAATTAAAGATAATTATATTTCACTTTGATAAATAAACAGTATTCTATGGACATTTTCTCAAAGTAACAAAGGCATAAAAGCAAATTTGCTCAAGCTTGTATTTCATATCTATAATGCTGAAATAACGTTTTTTTTCATGAGTTCCCTATGGCTCAGCGGTATGTCTGAGGGCTTATGGTTTTAAAAATTGACTTTCGATTCCCGCGGTGGGCAGACCACAGCTGTCCTATTGCGTAGCTTTGTGTTTAATAATATATATTTTCATGTGTAACATCGTACAAGACTTACCATTCAAATCGTTTCATGTGTAACATTGTACAAGACTTACCATTCAAATCGTTTCATGTGTAACATTGTGCAAGACTTACCATTCAAATCTTTTCATGTGTAACATTCTAAAACACTTACCATCCCTTGTACGATGTTACACATGAAAAGATTTGAATGGTAAGTGTTTTACAATGTTACACATGAAAAGATTTGAATGGTAAGTGTTTTACAATGCTACACATGAAAAGATTTGGATGGTAAGTGTTTTACAATGTTATACATGAAAAGATTTGGATGGTAAGTTTTCCAATGTTACATATGAAAATATTTGGATGGTAAGTGTTTTACAATGTTACACATGAAACGATTTGGATGGTAAGTGTTTTACAATGTTATACATGAAAAGATTTACTTACCATCCAAATCTTTTCATGTGTAACATTATAAAACATTTACCATCCAAATCTTTTCATGTGTAACATTGGAAAACACTTACCATTAAAATATTTTCATGTGTAACATTGTAAAAGACTTACCATTCCAATCTTTTCATGATACTGATCATCGCTGTTTATAATATATATTTCACTGTTATCTTTACAACTTCAAGCCTGTCATGGCTTGGAGGCTATGTCGCTCGACTCGCAACATGCTCACCCTTTCAGGCTTGGGGGCGTTAAAAAATGATGGCCAATTTGACTATTCATTGGTAAACGAGTAGCCAAGAATTGGCGGTGGTTGGTATTGACTAGCTGCTTTCCCTAGAGTCTAACACTGGTAAGTTAGGGACGACTAACGCAGACAGCCCTAGAGTAGCTTTGCGCGAAATTCAAAAGAAATAAACAAATAAACCTTACAACATTTATCAGCATGAGATTTCATCTCATTTCGAGGATAATAATTTTCGTGTTGAAAATCAGTATTGAATTTACTAAACATTAACCAAAATCTCATAGAAAATGAGATCCGATAAATATATCTTTATAATTCATGTTTATCACGAACAAAGAATATAAGATAGATGATATCACTAAAGCTATGTTACATAACAAACACTTCCCTTTGACCTTTCTACTGTATTTTTGTGTTAAAAATCAGTATTGAATTTACTAAACATTAACCAAAATCTCATAGAAAATGAGATCCGATAAATATATCTTTATAATTCATGTTTATCACGAACAAAGAACATAAGATAGATGATATCACTAAAGCTATGTTACATAACAAACACTTCCCTTTGACCTTTCTACTGTATTTTTGTGAATGAGACGTAATTCATGCAATGATGGAAGAAGAATGAAAAAACGGAAGATTAAGTCCAGATGTGGACGTTCACATGATGATACTCTACTATTGAATGTTTTCATGTCTTACACATGGGATTCAACTTTTATTTTTCCCTACGCTTGAAGTTTTCTTGCTTTTATTTTTTTTTTCTGGAGACGAAATGGAAAATATGGATCATTTTTTTTGTAGATAAAACAGTGACTTTTTTTTCCAAATGTAAAAAAAACTGGAAAGAAGGGTATTCACACTTTTTATCACTTTAAGTGGAACGTTGCGTGATAAAAGATTAAAGAATAACATGTAGCTCTTTCGTTTTTGGTGATATTTGGTATTGCAAAATAACTAAACTGTAGGTTCACGATCACATGACCTATGTATTTAGAAATAAAGCAATTTTAAGAAAAGTCCGTTAAAAAATAACATTTGTTATATAGCAACAAAGGTTTCAGTATTATTTCAATTAGAATTCCATGTTTTACGACGACACGGTTTATAGGCTTAAGCACATTAACGTAAGATCATACATAGTGTTAAAAAAAGCTCCAACAAAAAATATTATCAATATTGCAACTAACTCCACTAGTTGCTGCTGGGATGTTCTACGTATTTCACTTAAAAATTAGTGATTTCACACATCTATTTTTAGCCCCCTAGTGTAAGTTTGCGAACTTATTTTTAGCCCCCTAGTGGCACAGCAGTAAGTTTGCGGACTTATAACGCTAAAAACTGGGTTTTTATACTCATGATTGGCGCAGCACAGATAGCCCACTGTGTAACATTGTGCTTAACTATAAAGAAACAAACAAAAACATCTATTTCATTTTTATACTGAGTGGTGTAACATAAGATATAAAACTACACAATCTAATACAATATTTGGACCCCACCGGTAACGACTGGTATAAAACTAAGTCAGTAATTTGAAGGTTAATATTACTTGTTTACTTAGTTCTACTTCTTTACGACCATAGTACCATAAACTAACTCCTTTACTTTTATCTTCATGCTTCTTCAACCGACGGTACATTCCACCGAGACTGTGCTTGGATATGATCTGTGATCACTGTATCGATATACTCACAAATGTTTATATTTCAGAGTATCTATGGGAAACATTTCAAGGAATTACATCTTTAATGACTTAAAATAAGGCTTTAAATTATACAGAGCCATCAACAAATAAATTTTATGCTCTATAGATTTATGGCCATCGGATGGCGTGTTCGTTGTGGCTAAATAACTTTTATGATAAAACTTTATTTTCCTACTAAGCCAAAGTATTTAGATGTAGAAATTGTTCACCAGAAGAAACCTTTGAAGAGTACTTATCTAACAACTCACATAGTTAGATATTAATCTAGATTGGTGCAGATATAAATACTCTATTAGATTCGCTTCACTGTTCGAAATGCACATACAGATTTAACAACTGATATATGATAATACCGAACTTATTTCCATACTACATATTTCGTTGTTAGTCTTTTGTCTTCAGGTTCGAGGTATTGTCACTTTAACTGTCCATTGCCTTGTAGTCGAGCAGCTAAGTAGCAAGTAATGTCACTAAATAATAACTAGTGGCTCGTAATCTTGAATTTCCTGGGTGGATATTTTATCCAGTCACGTGTTTTTGTGTGATGTATTGTTTATTATTTTACAGGAAAACAACTGGGCCAGGAATGTACCATTAATCAACAGTGTGAACTCGACAACAGACATTCACATTGTGTGAGTGACATATGTACCTGCAAAGAAGGTTTCTTTCACGTTCAAGACATCAACGGCACCGTATGTCTGAAGGGTGAGTTCTACTAGCAAAAGGAGATGTTTGTTCAGTTTCAGTGCAAAAAAAGAAACTGTAAAAGATATGACGCGATACAAAGAGGTGTCTAGAGAAAAGAAAACAAACATTAACCACGAGAGACATGACTTATAAGAAATAATGGATCTCATTAGATGTCTCTAATTTTGAAATGGTAGACAAGAGGGAAAGTAGCAAGTCAACACCATACACCGCTAACTCGTGCGTTCTTCTAATCGCATAGTAGGATTTAACCGTCACTCTTATAACGCACTCGCGACCTCAAAATGAGGAGCGGAATTTTTTTGTTTTATGTAAACGGAGTCAGTATATATATATATATATATTACAAAATAAATAACTATTGGTGATAGATGAATCCTGGCACTCTCTGGTAATTAATTTAAATATTATGGTGAGGTGACTTCGCATCCACATTGTGTGTTATACTCACATCACTCAGGAAGTTAGCTGCATTCTTAGCTTAAGAAAAAATAGTTTTATATTGTAGGGTGTTAATTTATACAATACTTACATGTACACCTTAAGAAAAATGAGTGTGATTGAGATGTGATTCCAACAAGTACACCCCTTGTTGTTGACAAGGTGAGAATTCACATCTTTAAAGGTGAAAATTTAGATCACGTAATAGTTCACACTCCTTCTATGTGAGTAAAGATGTGATTTAATAAACAGAATGGAAATTCATGTGATTGGTATATGAAAATAAAATAAAAAAGACAATTTTTATAAAGATAATCTTCTTACAGTTATAATAATGTTTTAGAAGATAATAACTAATTACAATTAATACATTTATATTAAACTTATTTTTATGGAGTTGACCTCTTAAAATATATTACTAGACTTCTTTAATATTTCTCTATCCTATCATGGGTGTCAAATCACCTATCCTAACGAAAGGTGTAAATTCGTGTGTTTTGGGGGGATTTAGCTCAGGTATCTGTTCTTCACACCCAGAAAAGTACGAAATCACAGTATTTGTTATTCGAGTGCATGCTTGTATTTGTTATTTTCAGCCTGAACGGTACCTTATGTAACAAACAAGCTAAACGGCCCAATCAGAACTCAAAGCTCAGGCAGAGCCATCTTTAATTTCAGATGTTTACAGAGGAAGAGTAACCAGTTTTCATATGTATATGTATTTACATAATAAAAGTTCCAAGAGATAGTTTCAGTAGTTGGGGTATGTATAAGAGTATTTTATCAAAAGAAACTGTTTTATCCTTGAAAAAAGTGTGGGGGACATATCCCCTGCGTCCGCTGGGAAAATTACGCCTGTGAGTAGAACTAAGGTCAGATTGTTGAGTTTTGAATATTACGGAAATTATTATCAATAAGATCTGATCATGGAAGATGATAATATATGAACATATGGTAATCACGAAACGCTGCTCGATTTTTACATTTTCAGGTGAATATCAATTCTTTACATGTTTACTCTGAAAAAAAAGAGTAGAAAAATGTGGGTTTTTCCAGTAAACCGAAAGTTTTCGCCACACTAAATCAGTCAAAAATCCGGGGTTCGATTACTCGCAGTGGAATACTAGATAGCCCAATGTGGCTTTGCTTTTAAACAAACAAACAAAAAACAGCATACTTTAAAATGAGTTATTTTAAAAAATGGTATCCGCATATATGAATTTAATATATATGATCATGTGCTGTGATAGTTATTAAAAAAATTGTACTGTTTTGTTATCTTCTCTCGGACTATTTTCATAGCACAGCATGGACCCACTGGCAGTGAGTTGTGCACGTAATCTATTTATTGGCATATCTGCATCTACAATCATTCTAAGAAGCCCCCCTCCTCCCTGCAGTGTTTCAGAAGTAAGTCTGAGGGCAAAGTACAAGTAGCTCATTGTGTATTTTTGTGCTTAACAGCAAATACGCTAAGAAAAAAAAAAAAGGTAGTTTGGAGTGTGACTCCAATAAAGAGCTCTTGTTTTTCACAAAGTTTGTTTGTAGTTAAGCACATAGCTACACAAAGGGTATCTGTGCTCCTACCGCCACAGGTATCGAAACCCGGTTTATAGTGTTGTAAGTCCGCAGACATACCGCTGTGTAAACAGAAATCATGTAAGAAGCACCTTTGAAAACTGTTAACGGTTAATGTATAGGTGTACCACACAAATGGTTAATGAATAAGTGTACCAAACAACAGTTAATGTGTAAGTGTACCACACAAACGGTTAATGTATAGGTGTACCACACAAACGGTTAATGAATAAGTGTACCAAACAACAGTTAATGTGTAAGTGTACCACACAAACGGTTAATGTGTCAGTATACAACACAACGGTTAATGTGTAAGTGTACCACACAAACGGTTAATGTATAAGTGTACCACACAAACGGTTAATGTGTTAGTGTACCACACAAACGGTTAATGTATAAGTGTACCACACTAACGGTTAATGTATTAGTGTACCTCACAAACGGTTAATGAATAAGTGTACCACACAACAGTTAATGTATAAAGTGTACCACACAAACGGTTAATGTATTAGTGTACCACACAAACGGTTAATGTATAAGTGTACCACACAAACGGTTAATGTATTAGCGTACCACACAACAGTTAATGTATTAGTGTACCACACAACGGTTAATGTGTAAGTGTACCACACAAACGGTTAATGTGTAAGTGTACCACACAAACGGTTAATGTGTAATTGTACCACACAAACGGTTAATTTGTCAGTATACAACACAACGGTTAATGTGTAAGTGTACCACACAAACGGTAAATGTATTAGTGTACCACACAAACGGTTAATGTGTAATTGTACCACACACATATGATGAGAACATGAGATAGGATACTGTAATTTTGAGTGGAGAGCAACTAATTCTTTAAATTAATTAAAATGTTACAGTAATATTTCATCTAAAGATTCTGCCATCATTAGATCTCGTTTAGGGGTACTTTCACACCTCCAGGATGTGAACTGACCCTTTTTAAGGAGTGGCTCCTGTATCAACATTTTACACCATAAAGGTGTGTGATCACACGTTTCAAAGGGTGTTCTGTGATCAAATAAAACGTATGCTAATCAAAATTAGCATATGAATTCTCTCTAGCTCAGCGGTAAGTTTGAAGGCTTATAACGGTAAAATCCGTGTATTGGTACACGTGGTGGGTAAAGCACAGATAGCCCATTGTGTAGCTCTGTGCTTATCAACAAACGAACAAACTCTCCAGCACAGTTTTAAAGAAAAAATATTTCTGTGGTGACATGTATTAAGAATCTTATGATAATAAATAATACTCGAAATAGATTCGATCAACATGCTAGACACGATGTCGCCTATTTTTGATCTCATATTGTAATATAGTAAGTCGCTAGACTTAGTCTTTAAATGATAATTAATTCAATTTTCCACTTTATTCAAAAATATTACATTAGCTTCAAAATTCTCACATATAAATAAATTATGGGTTTGCCTATTGCGGGAATAAGACCGACCGGACATTGAGACGTCACACACGAATAGGTCAATAAATGTTTTATATGTCATCAAAACAATGGCTGCATATATACATATAAGGAGATGTGTATTAAGTACCTGAAGGTGTTACAAGTATGAAACAACCTATACTTTGTAGCATCATTAATCTTGTAGCTACTAAATCGTTGGATACTTGGGAGTCGACAGGTTCGAATTAATTTTAGTAACGGATGTATTCTAGTTTTTCTTTCGTGTAGTAAAGATATCTATTGTAGCCAAGACAATGTGCTTAGCACTAAACGTGCAGGAGTCCTCTTTCAAACTTTCGCTCAGATGTTATTCACACTTACTAATGGAAAAGTACTTTCTCGCAGTCAGCACAATGGAGCCCAACTCGTAAATGTACCACTTTTATTATTATATTTTCAGGGTAAGACCGTAGAAAAGGTATATTCTTTTAAGACTTGAACACATAAAACCAGTGTTTTAAAAACTGGTCAAACACCAGATAACGGACAATATGTATGAATAATGTTTAACAAATCATCAAAAGCCTGCTATAACCCGTTCCTTTACTGTTTCAGTTATTATTATTGTGTTAATGAATTCGTGCTCTCTTCCTGTTTAAGAGCTGTGAATATTCATAAGTATTTAAAAAGGTTTTTACTGAAATTTTTCCTGTGTGAGACGGGTAATTGAAGTGAGTTTTCACAGTGTATGTTCTTATCTTAAGGAAGTTTCGTGTGAGACGGGTAATTGAAGTGAATTTTCACAGTGTATGTTCGTATCTTAAAGAAGTTTCGTGTGAGATGGGTAATTGAAGTGACTTTTCACAGTGTATGTTCTTATCTTAAGGAAGTTTCGTGTGAGACGGGTAATTGAAGTGAGTTTTCACAGTGTATGTTCTTATCTTAAGGAAGTTTCGTGTGAGATGGGTAATTGAAGTGAATTTTCACAGTGTATGTTCTTATCTTAAGGAAGTTTCGTGTGAGACGGGTAATTGAAGTGACTTTTCACAATGTATGTTCTTATCTTAAGGAAGTTTCGTGTGAGATGGGTAATTGAAGTGACTTTTCACAGTGTATGTTCTTATCTTAAGGAAGTTTCGTGTGAGACGGGTAATTGAAGTGACTTTTCACAGTGTATGTTCTTATCTTAAGGAAGTTTCGTGGATGTTGAAGATGTGACCGAAGCCTCAGGGGAACGAACTACCGATGTACAGACGAAGATGATTCCCATCATTGTGGCCTTGGGGGTGATGTTCGTCGGTATCTGTGTAGCTATGCATTTATTCAGCAAGTACGTGTTTTTTATCTTATCCAAACATATGCCCTCGGCATATATATATTGCAGAAAAGAGCGTAAGCTGTAATCAAAGCTAAAGCGTTTGTTTACAAACACGGTCATGGACGTGCCTGACGTGTGACTTCACCGCACAGAAGTAGAACTACAGAAACACAAATTCTTACCGTGAGCGAACACGAGTCATTTCTAATTATACTCCTTGTGATTTATTTTTACTTGAACTTCTCAATCATATCTTACTAAACACGTGCCTTGTTTGAAAAAACAAATATTCACGAAAAATCTTAATTAATCAAATTTTTTTAACTTTATTAGAAATATTACATTAGCGTCAACATTCTCATAAAAGGATATCATGGGTTTACCTACTGGATATAATTCCGGGAATAAGAACGACCGGACGTTCTGGCGTCACACGAATACGTCAATAAAGTTTGTACACGTCATCCATCTATCTATATATAAAAAATCGCCCCCTTCTAACTATCCTGATAAAGTAGAGAATAATTCGTTAAATTATTATTATCATTATTATTAAACCCTCTTTTTCTTCTTATCTAAATACTCCGTTTTATCAATCGTCAAAAAGACAAATTTACGGCTGTAATCTCAACTATTCAAACAAATTGGTATCATCTTCTAAAATATCCAATCTTATTTTGACAGAGCCACTATTTCCATCTTTTGTCGAATGGAACATTGATTTTTACTTCCAACAAGTCAGTCGGGTTTTATTGAAATGTCAGAGATGTTACTAACATGTGTATTATTTTACAACTCCCCTTTTTCTATATAAGTAAACTTTCTTGACTAAAACTAAATACATTTCCAAGCTCGTTCTTAATTTGTTATGTTGTTATTTTCACTCTGGTGTAAAAATAATCAGTTTCTTTTCTTTTTTCTACTTTTTTACATTTATATTTTCCAATTAAAGAACTAATAAAAGTTACAGATATAATCTTAATACTACAGTGATAGAACGTAAGAGATATATAAAGTGAAGCTTGTTGAGGTTGACTGATTATTTACGAATGTGGCACAGCAGTATGTCTGCGGACTTACAACGCTAGAAACCGGGTTTCGATACCCGTGGTGGGCAGAGCACAGATAGCCTTTGTGTAGCTTTGTGCATAATTAAAAACAAACAAACAAATATTTTTGTACATCAAGTTCTAAGGAAGCGACCTCTACTTTAGAGCAGCAACTGCTCTAAGTAAAAAAATACCGAAACTTAAATGTAAATTTAAATATGCTTAAAACTAATGTTGCATATATTTCAACATTTTAAAGTAACCAATTAAATCATTTATCGATTGTCCAGTTATGTAAACACCACCAGGTGGTGTTGAGACAGAAACCCTTTTACATGAAAAAGAGTGAGCTAGGAACAAAGATTTGACTTTCGAAAACATTCGTGTCCTTAAATTTTATTTTAATTCTGACTTACAATTTTTGGTGAGTCTACGTACTTATCCATTTCCTTAGATATACATAATATAATATTGTAACTACTACTTGTACATTATGCCTAGGATAATAAAAATGTAAGTTCGTATACAATTGAAGATAACATAAAAAAATCAGTTTCTTTCAAAAATTATTATATTTGTAGCTATGAAATTAGAGTATATTAAAGGTCATAGTCGTAAAATTAAGAGAAATCACACTAGCACTACTCGCCTTGCTGAACGTAGGGTCAGTTGAGTAACTGAACAAAACCGGACAACGAGCGCAATGTATTTTTGTAAGTTTTGCACCACAAATAGATCTGTTCATATGACAATTTTCCATTGATCAAGGTCAATGATAGTCAAAATGCAGTCCCATGTGACAGATTTTTGTTTAGAGTGTAGAAGAGGTTCGTTCAATAACACGACTGACTTTTATGTTATTCGCCTTACAAACAGTGTTTCAGACTGCTATTCACTCTACAAATAGTGTTTCATAGTATTATACACCCTAGGTACAGTGTTTGATAGTATTATACACCCTACGTACAATGTTTCAGATTATTATTTGCCCTACAAACAATGTTTCAGAGTATTATACACCATAAGAACAATGTTTCAGAATATTATTCGCCCTACAAACAGTGTTTCAGAGTGCTATTCACTCTACAGACAGTGTTTCAGAGTATTACACACCCTACATACAGTGTTTCAGAGTATTACACACCCTACATACAGTGTTTCAGAGTATTACACACCCTACATACAGTGTTTCAGAGTATTATACACCCTAAGAACAATGTTTCAGATTATTATTCGCCCTACAAACAGTGTTTCAGAGTATTATACACCCTAAGAACAATGTTTCGGATTATTATACACCCTACAAACAGTGTTTCAGAATATTATACACCCTACGAACAGTGTTTCAGAGTATTATACACCATACGAAGAATGTTTCAGATTATTAAAGAGCGTTATTCGCCTGACAGTCAATATTTCAGAAAAACTAAGTGTGCTAAAATTCATAAAGAAATGACTTGATAACCTGTTAAAATAAGTAATTAAATCATCTCTTTGTCTGTATCAAAGAAGTGATCAAAAGCTGTAGCCTTCGGAGATTAGAAAATTGGAGTTTTATGTAGACTCATCTAGTACAGTATGTCATATAGACCATGTGCTTGTCAACGAAATCAAGTATTACTTGTTATATTAAAGAAACGAAGTTTGGTATTTACAAAATATGGTAAATTATGATATTGTTCACAAATCCCAATACTACAGTAACTATATTTTAAAATCAACCATAAAAATAAATATGAGGCTACTTCCATGTATATAATATATGACTTAATAATAGGAGCTTGGTAGATTCCGTGCTGCTGTTGTTTTGAACAAGTATTGTGTGTTACTGTTATTCTGTTAGAATCTATTTTTCGTCATCCTACAGAGCCAGATTCCGGAATCAACGGACAATATTCAATTCACCTCATCCTCGTCTGATGCATATCAAAGTTAGCCGGAATCAGAAAAGCAGCAAGCGCCGGACAAGCCACACGAGCCTTCAAGTTCATGAGTGTCGCCAAGCAAGCTTGAGTGCTCAAGTTTCGCCCAACACTTCACGCTTTGGTAAGAAAATACATTCTATCAAAATGTACGTCCTTCCCGCCCAGTTCATGAGTGTCGCCAAGCAAGCTTGAGTGCTCAAGTTTCGCCCAACACTTCACGCTTTGGTAAGAAAATACATTCTATCAAAATGTACGTCCTTCCCGCCCAACTGTTATTTGACATTAATCAATTCTTGAAACTTCTCAATTAATAAATTTCACCCTCTCTCTCTCAGAAATATGATTGTAGGCTTATAATGCTAAAATTCGGGGCTTGATCCCTGCGGTAGATACACCGCAGATAGCCCATTGTGTAACTTTGCCCTTAAACAAAACAAAACATACAAGCAGACCTCTCTCTCCCTCTGTTTAGGACTAGCCTTTAGAGAAACAATTCTGGCGACTACATTGAACATTTAATTCGCTAACATTGAATCAAAATTATCTTTTTAATACATTTATTCCTATTATTGACTTAATAAACTCCATATTACATTCACAATATGCTTACATATGCTCAACTTGTACTCAAAATATAGTAGAAATATTTAAGAGAGACATTAACAGTACAACCAAATGTCTCAGAAAACTGTACGAAAATTTAATAATAATAATAAACATTACGAATCCTGACCAACACCAAAATAGGAACATGTTTAGAAGAGTTTATTATCCTTATTCTACTTCAGAGATTTTCTTGGCTGAGAAAAATTACTTGGTTTGATAATAATTTTGAGTATTTTCCCAATCATTCATGCTTCGCTGTTCTTAAAGAACAAATCTTTATATTGAAAAAACACATAAAAACAACTAATAAAACCCAAAAAGTAATCTATTAAACTCACCTCGACCTCTGTCAACGTTACATTATTGTATGACGCCGCTCCCCAGGGGCACAGCGATATGTCTGCGGACATACAACCCTAGAAACAGGGTTTTGATACCCGTGGTGAGCAGAGCACAAATAGTCCTTTGTGTAGTTTTGTGCTTAATAACAATCATATAGCGCCCCATGGTGGCTAAGCGATAAGCTTGAGAGCTTATAACGTCCAAATTATAGGTTTGAATTCTTCGATGGGCATAGCGGAGATAGTTTATTGTATACCTTTGTGCTCAAACAGTCCTTATTCTTTTCATGCTATTTTTTCTAAACTAGGAAACTTGTTTTTTAATAATACAAAAATATTATCTACATTAAAGAGATTATTTATTGTATTTTAGAAACTCAACAGGGAAGCCAAGAGCCTCTTAATCCCTCGAGCAAGAGTACTGGCAGTAGCCTAATGGGAAGTCCCACATCGCAACCTGGATCGTCTTTTAGCAGCAATACTGTGAAAAAGGTGCACGATCAGATCTCAAAGACTTGATCTTTTCGTTCATGTATTTTTTTATCTGTTGTTCTTTGTCAACTCTTTATTTTATTTTTTGTTGCACATCAATTAATTAAATTAGCACAAAACAGACAATATTTGGTTTCTTGATATCACACTAATTCTTTGATCCGCTAGAATAATTATTAGTAAAGTATATAACGTTATTAAATATTTCAAACGTGTGATATTTTACCACTGTAGATCACTATAGATGAATCATAGCTGGTAGTTATTAAGTCTGTGACTTTTAAACCAAAGAATAAATGAATGATATGGTTTTATATTTCACTGATGCTTCAACAGCCTCTTTAATTCAGTTAACTGTAATAGGAGAACAAATACACTGAAAAACGGAGAAACGAAAACCTTTGTAACTGATAATTATAAACTCGTAATTGTAGATAATTATCTCACAAATAAACTTAATGAACATTATTTCTATAATATCCAAAAACGAATCTAAACTTCAAGAAATAAAAAGAGGAAGTCAAAAGTTTAACTCGATAGGGGTTCATTAGCAAAATCTTTTTTTTAAAGTTGAAACAACAATTTATGAAAGTCCGAAAGAAAAGATTGTTTGTTTTGAATTTCGCGCAAAGCTACATGAGGGCTATCTGTGCTAGCCGTCCCTATTTTAACAGTGTAAGACTAGAGGGAAGGCAGCTAGTCATCACCACAAAGCTACACGAGGGCTATCTGTGCTAGCCGTCCCTATTTTAGCAGTGTAAGACTAGAGGGAAGCAGCTAGTCATCACCACAAAGCTACACGAGGGCTATCTGTGATGACTAGCTGCCTTCCCTCTAGTCTTACACTGCTAAATAGGGACGGCTAGCGCAGATAGCCCTCGTGTAGCTTTGTGGTGATGACTAGCTGCCTTCCCTCTAGTCTTACACTGCTAAAATAGGGACGGCTAGCATGTAGCTTTGTGGCGAGGGCTATCTGCGCTAGCCGTCCCTATTTTAGCGTGTAAGACTAGAGGGAAGGCAGCTAGTCATCACAACCCACCACAAACTCTTGGGCTACTCTTTTACCAACGAATAGTGGGATTGACCGTCACATTATAACGCCCCCACGGCTGAAAGGGCGAGCATGTTTGGTGTAACGCGGATTCGAACCCGCAGATTGCGAGTCGAGCGCCTTAACCACCTGGCCATGCCGGGTCCGCGAAAGAAAAGAAAGAAAACGAAACGATACCACAGGCCTGCGATGGTTTTATTGTCTTGAAATTTTCACATGTTTTACAGTAACTCCTGTACTCTGAATCCCCAAATAATATCCATTTTCCTCCATCACGTACAGATTTTTCATAAAACGTCATAACGCAATACATAAAAGAAAGACCACAACACGTCCTTTTGAAACTACAAGACATAGATTTCACACACAAAAATCAGGATGAATGAGGATGCATATTCGTTTGACATCAATGTTCTCCCCTTTTCTTCAGTTTGTTTGTATATTTGTTAACAAACATAATAATAAAAAATGTTCATTGTGGTAAATGAAATAATAATTTGATCTAAGTAAGAGTTTTTTTAATTCCCGATTTGTAAAAATTCTTTACGTGATAGAAACATAATTAATATTATTTTCGATATCTGCGAAGTTCAATTATGGAAAATTCGTTATTAAAACCAGAACAACTTTTATGAAGTTTAAATTCGCAGAACTGTGTAATTTTAGATTATAAGAGCTTATTAGCAATTACATCGAATTTCGCTCGTGTCTAAAAATAGAGAAAATAATTAGAAGTACAACTTTGTGAAGGTTATACTTGAAACTCGTTACATTGCTGGGTATTATACGATTGTTATTTTTATTCAGGTTTCTGCTGAAGGGGAAGTTAAAAAGACCAAGGTGGACCTAGAACCACTTAGACTTAGCTACACCGCCGTGCCAACCGGACCCAGTTCGCCAACCGTTATTATTTCTAACAGGAGAGGTTCCACCATCTTGGACAATGACTCGTCCGACCTGAATCATGTCTGAACAACTCAGTACTCACTACTGTATTTATCTCTGTGAAGACTTTTCCACCACCCTGTAATGATTCATCCCGAAGATCGTCAGAATTAACCTGTCATACGCATATCTTTGTTGATTTCTGTACAATTACCACCGAGAGATCCAGACTGAAACGCGTCATCTTATCTCCTGTGCGTAATGTTTTCCAGATCCTCTCTAACACCATAAAATCTAAGCTGGATATAATATTATCCAAAGTTTCTAACTGGTAAAATCATAGTAAAAATGTATGTTATTAGCAGTTCTCTTAATATTTATATTAACGTTTACGTAGATATAGAAATTATAACTTTCAACAAAGAAATTTGAGACTTGTACATGTCTTTGAAATTCAAACTGTTTAATAGAGTCACTCGTCACATGACTTCGTTTCTATTTCCTCAGTTAGCACACCTTTTTTCTACACTATTCGTATTACTCATTTTCTAATCTAACATTTCCCCTTCTCCGAGTCAGAATTAATTATACAAGTTTATTTCATCTCATCCTGAGAAAGGTGTTCATATCGATATTGTGAAATTACTTAAAAGTGTATTCCAAAATAATAATAATAATAATTAATTGGTTATTTTCAACTTTGCATTTCGAAAGAAAAACTTCCCTCTCTAAGGTTTAATAAGTGTTTTTTTCCAAAATCTCAGTCTATTGGAGAACTCCTCTTCCATGTAAAAACGTATTTATCTTCTTAACTAATGAACTGCTTCCTTCTCATTTCGGAAGCGTTTTAGTTCAATGACCTTTTGTAACCATAAATTGATTTGTATGTTATTGTAATACACAGTGCACATAGAAATAGGCAGACATACTTTGCACATATACATTGTACTGTATGTGTGTATATATATATATATATATATACACACACATATATTTATATGGTAGATGTTTGTTTCCATACTTATTTATATTTGACCAAATAGATTTAGTTTGCGATATTATTATTGTTTAATAACTAAGCGGAATCTTATCATTGGACGACGTATTGAACAGTCACATCAAGGCTCGACAAAGATGGTATTATTTCATTTATTTATCCTTCAATTTGTACACACCATCCTGTTCTTTTTTCCATACTTATTACATTGTATGTCTATTCAATGTTTCTGTGTTTGAAATTACATTTACAACCTGCTCAGTTAAAAAAAATAACTGTTTGTTCACAATTTTCTAGGCGTTGATAAACGTCCACATTTCCATAGCCACGTATCTTGGGGTTGTTTGTACATTCTGTTAGGCGTTGATAAACGTCCACATTTCCATAGCCACGTATCTTGGGGTTGTTTGTACATTCTGTTTAAAATTAAATGAATAAAATAGCATGTTATTTGGGTACAACTGTCAAAAATATTGATAAACGTTGACAAGAAAAAATAAGTAGTTGGTGGAAAAGTCGATAATACACCAGTATTTACACTGTTCGGCGCCACTAGGCACACGGGGCCCGTGCCCCGATTATACTTCACAGTGCTCCGAATCCCCAGTTTTTATCTTGAAAAATCAGAATAGAAAACCATGATCAATATCATATAGAAACGCCGAAAATTCCATCACCTTATGGACCCGAGCCCCTGAAACTTTAAAACACCTAGCGACACCTCTGGTATCGTGTAAATCTAAATTTAAAATAGCCGAAGTTGCAATTTGTGCTTCACAAAAACGATAAAGTTCCCTCTCTCGAGCTCTAACGTAACACAATGTCCTTTTATACGTATTTGGTTATGTATACGTTTGATCAAGAATTCCTGAAACATAACCACAAACGGTTGTAAATGTACAAGAGCTATCACTTTAAATGAATTTAATCATTACCTCTGTTTGTTTACATCACAATACGACTGATAACAATTCAATTGACATTATTTTCTGACCCAGATCAAGTAAGAACAGTGTATGTAATAACGTTTCAATTACACCTGGTTTGTTGAACGCCGCTGCCGACAAGACCTTTCGCTCAATACCACAACTCTTCAGGTCGTCTGAGTCACAACATGCAATGACAGAACTTGGGTAAATATATAAAATATGCTTTAACAAATATAGAGATTAAATTAAGGGGCTTCGCTAGGATTGTTTCAGATGGGAGGTCGTTTCTGAAATCATTATCACAAGTAGGCCTAAGTGAGCCGTGAGTCAGTAGCAGTCCAGTACGTGGTCCATAGCAAGATTCATGTCAGATTGAAGAAACACATTAACAAACGAAAAATATATATATATTATTAATATAAAATTATAACGCCCTGTACTGCAGTTTTCCAGAACTAAATTTCATTTTCTTTGACCACCAAAATGCAGTGCAAAGAATTTCAACTGTATATTAAATTAGAATTTAAACTTTAGCTTGTAGTTTCTT